TTTTCGTCGTCGGCTTCTTTTTCGTCGTCGGCTTCTTTTTCGTCGCCGGCTTCTTTTTCGTCGTCGGCTTCTTCTTCTTCTTCTTCTTCTTCTTCTTTAAGTCTAAGACTTGGTCCTTTTAAAGAATTATAAGGAGTCTTCTTGGTCTGCCAACTTATGCGTTCATCTAGCAATCCTCACTATTCTTTTCCCCTCCATTCTCTCAATATGATTGTTCCATTCTGTAATTGGCTTAACTTTGCACCCCTCCCTGAGGTTTTTGTTTCTTTCGTTATCCAGTGGAGGTTGATTTGTAATTTATCTCAAACCTCTTATTTTGGATAACTCAAGTTGTTGTTGGGTATGTTTTGTTTTGCTTCGCTTCTGGTTTCTCCTGCATATGTTAATATTGGTCTAATTATTGATTGTTGTATTCATACCTTCAAGTCCTGTTTTAGATGTTTATTATACCATATTGAGTAGTTGAGACAGCCAGCAATCACATTGCCCTTTATTATTTGCTCTTTGATTTCTTTCACTGTTTGTCCTGAGCTTGTTAGTCAATTTTCAGTAGTCAATTTCATAAACAAAATTTTCCCAAAACCAGCTCCAAATTTTTCTTTGTGTACAGCAAAGTATGATTATAAAAATTATGCAGATTCCATTTTCTGTAAATTCTAAATTTTTGAAAATTCCAAATGTTCAACAACTTGGTTTGTTTCTAACAACTTCAACATTGAAGATAGATATGAATTTTTCCTGATGAAATGTGTTCTTCGAAAGTAGATCTTGATATAATGTCATGTAAAATCTCTGAACTAAGCGTATATAAATGTTCACCATTTTTAAAGCACTGTTTTATCGGAATGGCAGTCGGTATAGGGGTAACGTAAATGGGTGCTAAAGCTAAGAACATCAATTTGAATCCCAGCCCGATAAAGAATTTTTGTTGGTTGGAAACATTTGCAGGTTTATGTAGTTCTTTAATATAGTGTAGTCATTACAGATAATGCAAGAGCTTGTACTGTTGTAGCTCCACTTGTTTATTTTAATTTTAAATTTTGCGGAACTTGATTGAGAATTTTAATTCAGTTATATTGGAATGGAGTTCATTTTAACTTCTTTATTAGAGGTTCTTGAACTGCAGAACACAGATGATTTTTAAGGTGTAGGGTGAACAAGTTTCATGAAAAGATTTGAGGAAGAATTGAACCACATAACCACTGTAATCTTCAAAAATTTCAGAACTTCTACTTCCTAAGAAAAGAATGGATGATCCATTTTTCTATTCACAAATACATTACTTGAATGACTCCATTCTGAATAAGAACTTCTCGTGATGTAACGTAGAGGTGTATTTTGATGCTCCAGCTGCACCTGCAGAGCGATGTGCTGCCCCACCTGCTGCACAGGACGAAGTTGATGACACGGAAGTGCGTGCACGCAAGTACAGTGAAGCAGTTGTTAGCACTCTCAGTACAGTTGCTTCAGTACTTGAGTATCCCAGAGGTGAGTGTTGTTTGTATTGTTGACCGATAAAGTTGTTGCTCTTATTGTAAATTCAAAATGTTATATATAATGAACAATTTATTAAATGTTAGTCTTGTACAGGGGAACTGATATTTCAGAGACATTTGACTGTACTTTTTAATTTGTTGAGCAAAGGCAGTGAATGTTCAAATAGTTATTTAAGCCTTTTTTCATGTGTGTTTACAGTGTCTAGTATTTAAAACTTATTTTAAGATCAGAACTTATGAAATTTATGTCATGGGACTACAGTCAGGAAGACTTAACAGGGTACTTTAATTTTGAACTCACCTTTTAATGGGATTTATGGCAATAAAAACATTTTAAAAATCACATCCTAAAATCATGTGCAACTTTTGTTTGAGTAATTTTTTTAATCAATTGACTGTCTTGTCAACTGAAAAATGCAAAATAAATTGTAAGAGAATCAAAGGTAACTTCTGTGAGAAGTGTAAAACCTCCAGTGACATTGATGTTAAGAACAAAGTGATATTCATTATATATTTTTATCTCTCTGTTGGTCTACATTTTTGTGGGATCTGGATACCACAGAATTGTTTTACAGCAAAACATCCTACTCTCTGTCCATCTGTCCACCAACCCTAATAAATAAACTGTAGAACTGTGTTTTACTATTGATCAGACTTATGTTACAGATCCTTAAATTTGAAATGGATATTTTGATTTTGGGGTACTTTACTTGCAGTCCAAAGATAATTTTCAAAATGTTTGCAAAAATTTCTCCAAATCTTTTCTTATTTTTTTTTCTCAGATAGAGCACATTACACATCTATAAAAGTTAGATACCTTATAATAAGATAACCATTCTATTGCGGATATGTGGGAGATGTTATCGATAAATTGCTGACTAATTCTTGAATTAGCCAGTTATGAACCAAAATGATATCATTAATGTAGCCGTTTACCTCAGAATGATGAGAAATTGTCAAATTTCATTTTTTTTTTCAATTTTTATTGAATGGTATGCTGTTTTATTCTCTTTTAAATACTTCAAACCATTTCTTTCTATATTTCTTAGTTTTTGAGCAAATAAGTTTTTTTTTTTTTTGAAGCAGGTTCTATTGTCAACTGAAATCCTTAGTAAGTGAACTTCAGATGCATTTTTCCTGTATTTGGAATTTTCAACTCATTCATGCATGTCAACCATAAATCATAAAAGATAATGGTATAATTCTTTTTGCAGCTTGCAACCCACTTTCTTCTAAAGAATGTACTAGAATAGTTAATACGACATTAAAAGTTTGAGTGAAATGAACAGAAATCTCCAGAATATACTTTTAAACAATTATTTTTTCTGAAATAATCAAATCCTGATTGGATTGGTTTTCATGGTATTTTTACCATTCTAATTCATTCTCTGGAACAGACATTTGTGATCAATTTACAAAACGAATTATCAAAATATATCAACTTGTTGTGGAGATAGGGTGTCTGAAGTAAAATCGAGCATTTTGGCCATAAAAATTGTATTATTATAAACAAATAGAAAAAAATAGTTAAATTTATTTGATCTCCAAGACCATACATAGAAATCAAATGTAAAAAGAAGAAGAAAAAAATACAAACAATATACTTGATATTATTTCTTAAGGTAGACAGCTACCTTAAATCAGAAGGAGGTGCACACCAAAGCATATTTCAGTGTTTAGGTAGATGACATTAGCCAAAGCAGGTTGGCTAGTGCAAATAAAGAACATTACAATAATAAGGGATAGCATATAATATGTGATAAATAGGGATCAGATTGCTGGAAGAAGTTTCTGAGAGACAAAGTCTGCAGATCCAAATCCTCTTATGTGAAATTTTTTATTTTCACAAAACCGTGCAACCAAATCTCACTTTACCTCAATTGATGTCTTGCTACACATTTCTAATTAGTTGAAAAGGCGGCAGCTTTCAGCTTTTATAATTTATATAAAACAATCTTGAGTCTGTTTAAAGGAGAATTTCTATGAATTTTGATCTCATAGTACTTCCCACAAACATAAATACCTCTGTGTTGAGGTCAACAATTCTTTGATGTAAAAATAGGTAAAGTTTAAATTGTTGGAATTTCTTTCTAGAAAATTCAAAATCATCCCAATGTTGTTTCACTGTGTACAGCCTGATATCTATTGCATCATTCCATCATCCCCCCCCCCCCATTTCAGAGTATCCAGGCAAACTGCTGAGATCAACAATATAACTCGGGTGTGGATCACCTAGGTAATGGAAATATAGCATGCAATTATATTAAAGGTTTTTGTTGTGTTGCCCTTGCAAGTTAAGACACCTCTGCTGTAGACGTTTAGAACAAACAAGCTTGTTCTGAGGTATCCTGCATATGCTAATGATGATTTCTTCAATGTGGTCAGGACTCATCAAGGAGACTGCGCGACCCACATACTGGGTACCAGATTCAGAGTGCATTAAATGCTGCTGTTGTGAAGGGGCTTTTGGACCACGTTTGCCTCTGCACCACTGTCGCGAGTGTGGTCGCGGTGTGTGCCAGTCGTGTTCCACCAGTCGGCGGCCTGTGCCATTGCGGGGTTGGGATGCCCCAGTGCGCATTTGTGACCAGTGTGCCAAAAAAGACTGATATTTGAAACAGGGAACTTTCACTATGTAAGTTCTTTAGGTTTTAATCTCGACACGTTTACTGTGTGGATTTGTTTTTTCTTATCGGATGTAACAACAATGAAGCTCCAGCACTGTGGAGATTTACTGTTGAGATTTGAGTTTTGTACATTGTTTCTTACTTTGTGTGCAACTAGATAAGTTCAGTTGTGTCAACAGCATGAATTTGCAAACAGATTCGGGGATATTCTGAACTGTTTAATCCCACCAGAGCTGCCCATTTATTATTCATATTAAGGTGGCAGATAGGGAGTGATTTTGACTACCAATGGGAAGAATTCGTTTACATTATATTCTTTATCACAGAATCATTGTGTTTGTTAAGTTGTGTATTTTTGTGTCCACATCCAGTTTTATTCAAAAGGGAACATGATTCTGTTTTAATTTTAGTCTGTGTGTGCAATCTTTACATTTTTGCACTTAGTGCATATCGTGTCTCTTAGAACAGGTTCATGTTTCCTTTGCAATGGTTATAGGAAAGGTTTTGATTTTATGGTTTAATCTGAGAAATATGTTACTAAGGGTTGCCAAGTCTTCCTGAAAGGAATACACACACACACACACATTCATTTTGATTGTGAGATGAAGGGTGGAATAAAAAAGAAAGGAAAAAAACATAAAACCCAAAAATACAGAAATTGGTAACCTTATTATGTAGCATAATTTTCTCTAGTTTCAGTTTTTTACAGGTTCAGTTTAAGTGTCTCGAGAATTTGTTTCGGACCCAGGGATTGCCTTTTTAGTTTTATTAATTGGATATTTTTTGAAAGTATCCTTCATGATACCAACTTTTCAATTCTCATGGGTCATATTTTTTCTAGTACCAAAGTTCATTGTTGAGTTTTTTTCTTGTATCTGAGAATTCTTTAATAAATACTTTGCCAGATGGCAAAAAATGAAAAAGACACAATAACAGTTGTTGACTTTGGAACACTTCATCTCAGTGAGAAGTACGTGTATTTAGTATTTTTGAAATGAGATGAAATTTTCCAAGCTTTTTATTGGTTGTTAAATATAAAATTGGGCATTGATAGCCTGGATCCTTCATACACATCTAAATACCGTGATTATTTAATGTAATATACTTTCTTCTTGGCCAAAGATTGTCCTCAGATCAGATGAAGGATAGTTTGTTATTATTATTAATATTATTATTTTATTATTTTTATTCTTATTGCAGTATCTCATTTTTGTATTGGAGTAATTCATAAGGTACTGCTTTGTTTCTTTCATAATGGAATTTTAAAGACTTAAACTGAGTTTGTTCCTAAGAATTGAACATATTTTACATACAATGTAGTAAAATGAGAAAAAATTTTAATATCCCGCTCTTCGGTTTAAGAGAATTTTTGTAGAAAAATTCTTATAGTGTGTTATGGAAGTAAGTCAGCGTGGCTTCTACCTAAGTTTCTAGTGGACAGAAATGACATTCACATTGTTCTAAATAGTGCAAAGAAATGTTACGTTAGTTATGTATTGTGTTTGTGATAAAATAATCGGCACAGGAGTGGTGCTAGTTTAACAAAGACTGTTTTTAAATTGGATCTTGAATCGATTCTGAGCCGTTTGTTTATGCAGTTACTAAAGATGTGATAGAGAGCATTTGTTACAGCTGGAGAAGTTCCATTTAGAAAGATCTTTGTTTTCTGATAGCTAATGGAGCTTAAATATCCATGAGAAATTAATTATTTAATCAATGGAAAAATTATCATTACACATTAAAAAATAAGAGCATGGCTAACTATTGTCTCTTCTGATTGTTTGTCAATTATTTTCTAAATAATTTAACATCTCTAGTTTAGGTGATTGTTTTGTTAATTTTTCGTAATATAGTCATCATTCCACATTCAGTTATATTCGTTTGCACCTAGAACCACTTTGCTTTGGGCCGTAATATCTGCATTTTACATTTTGCATTTTAAAAGAATTAAAATAGTCTTCATAAATATAATTGTAGTCCATAAACACCATTCTGACTGCTTTATCACTTAGTGTTGTTTTTTTCTTAGACTGAAGCAGTTATTTTTCAATAGTTACCATCAATGTAGGGGATTTAGCTCAAAAGTGCTAATGAAGAGGCACAATATAACAAAACAAAAAAAAATAAATAAAATTATTATTTGGACTTATCAAATGTAAATTTAATTGGCTTGAATGCTAAGATAATTTGTAATATCAGTGAAACAGAAGAAAGGATACCAGAAAACACATTGTGAGAATGACATAGTTGAGAGTTGTAGTTGAGAGATCCAGTGATTGTCCGACAATGAGTTATTTTTGGTCAATAATTGCTCTTGTATCAGATTATAACTATAGAAAAATGCAATGCCTATTTTAATTCCTAAGGAGATTTGTTGAGAGTTGATATGTACTCTGATTGCTGTACTGAATTCTTCTTAACAATTCCTCTCAAAAATATACTGATTGGTTAACTGAAAAATCTGGAATTCTAAAAGTAAATCGAAGTAAATACCAATAAATTGAAAAAAAAAAGAAGAAAATTCAATCCATTTTAAAAAATATTCTCTTCAATGTCTGGATAATTGTGGATCTAGTGACTTGTATGGGTTATGTTTTGTAAACTGCACTAGCACATTGCCTTCATAAGGCATTTATGTGTATTTGTTGTTTCCATTTTGTAATGGAGTCTTAAGGTATTTCATGAAATTATTCAGCATTCATAACTTGTACAGTATTGAATGGGTTTGTTTGCATGCTGTAAGAATAAGATCTTCAAATTCTCCATGTCTGTACTTATGAGATGTATGGGAATGTTGGGAAGAGAGTAATGGTGAGTTATTACCTTATTTCTTAACCAACTTCTTTTTTCATTCATTACCATCATGTGCCATTTTGCCATAATGGAATTTATTACATCTGTTATAAGTGTCTTAGAATATGTAGTGGAGTGAAGTAATTGGTAGTAGTTTTGTAGAATTTGTGTGTTATTGAATGTAGCCTTTCTTCAAAAATCATTCACATGGTGTTCACAATTGTTTAGCTAACAATATTTGCCAAATTGTAATCCGGAATAATTCAGATTGAAAAACTGCCGACATAAAATTACCAATGTGATCCAATAGCTAACAAAAAGAAAACAATTCTGTAACAAATGTCGTGATTTTTAAAATGTACAAGGGAACCAGAAAAAGAGATTTATAATATTATAGAGGTGTTATTATTGTGCACATAACAATAGCTTAAGAAATTAGTGTAATATTGTGACTTGTGTTTCAGAGTACACAACATTTATCTCAATACATTCCTTAATTTTTGTGTAGTTTTCAAGGGTAGAAAATTCAGTATTTGAGACTTGTTTCAAGGAAAGTTTTTTTAACACTGAAATTATAGTAAATGTAATAATTAATAAGTTGTCATTGTTGTGTAACATTTGTACTCTTTCTAATACTAAGTGTGTTTTGTCAGTGAAGTTTTAATTTTCAAACTTATGAAGATTTTGAATAGTAATAATTTTGGAAGACTTTTGGAAAGTCGATTAATGTGTGAAAAATACAAATTTTATAATTCAAAGCTTTAGGTGAAACAAGTAATGAAGATAAAATTGACTGCTTAGTTTTTGTTTGCAGAGTTGAGGAATCTAATTTTGATTGAAGGCCAAGACCTCAAAAATACTTTTGTATTTGAAGACAACTAAAATTGAAATAAACAATTTTAATGAAGTTCAGATAATAATTACATCTTTTGTCTATAGTTTAATTTTCTACAATAATGACAGTAGTACAGATGGGTTTGTTACATTAAACAATGATAAATTATTGTCTTCTTAATTTTCTTTGTTCTTGCAGCTGTAGAATTTGTGGAAATATTTTTTTTATTTGAAATCAGGGTGTTGCAAGCAGACTTTGTTGTGTTTTATGGGAATGGTGTTTTGAAATAGAAATACTCTGAAACTATACTTGCTTTTTGCATGATCAAGTATTTTTTTAAGATTTGCTCACTGAAAGTTCAGATACATGAGTGAATCTGTCTTGAGTTTACAGTCATTTTGCAGTTGCAGCATGGTAGTTTTGCCAGTTTGTGTTTAAATGCAAGTATTATTGATATATTTTATGACAGGATGTGTCTACTTTTGTAATATCTTTATTTAGAATATTCACTTTTAATTACAATTTCTAACTACTTTCTTCAGGACATTAATTTTTGTCTAATAATGAAGATTTCTTTTTCCAGGTAACAGATTTTTAATGCATTCTGTGGCTTTGTTATGACTGGCTGTGATGACTAAAATGTTTTGTAATTGATCAGAAGTTGGTAATGTAAGTTTTCAAAGAAACAAGTTTATTCTTTGTCAGAACTTAAAAATTGTATAAAAGCATAGGCATCTGCGGCTGAAGTCAGTATCTACTTGGTTGTGTGGGGAGATGCTGTGGCCTAGACACTAATGCCAACATTTTGGATGTGATCTTCTTCGATCATCCAGCCAACTGGTTGTCTGGAAGAGGGGAAAATCCTTCTATATATTCTATATAATATATATGCACAGTCCACACATTTTGCCCTGAGGAAGTTCTAACTTGGTGGCCAAAATGATGGTATTTGTGCATAGGTTGTGGCATCTCATGGACAGCCAAGTAAATGCTTTAATATTTTATTTTGTATTTTTAAAATCTTTATTTCTATCTATTGGTGTGCGATAACAAATTTCAGTTGAATGTTAATGTACGTGTTAAAATTGTATGAACTTTCGTGTTCAGCTAAGTTATGTAAGCTGTCTCAAGGCCACACTGTGTATAAAAGAATGGTTAACTCATAAAATTGAATGGAAGAGCATCCTGTCTTTTGTGTGATTTACAATAATTATATGTGTATCCATACATAAATATATAGAGTATTTAATGATTCATAAATGAGGTACTGTGGTTTGTGGAGAAGGTAAACCTTAAATAAAGGGCACAGTTAGTAAGTTAATCTGTTTTGTTCTCTCAGTACCCATAATTAAATTGTAATTACTGTGATACTAGACCTTAAAATTAGCACTTGCTGCTAAGCGATAGAATCATTTGATTGGTAATTTTGAGCTCCAGCAAAACTACACTTTTAATGTGTTGTGAAGAATTGGAACCTTCACTAATACATGTAATGTGGTAGGGTTGTAATTCAGTACATATCTAGGAACTCTGTTCCAGGTCAATGAAACAAACACATGCTATCCTCATGCATGCTTACAAGTGCTAAAACCTGTATTTAAAATCTATATTTAATAGTGACTTAGTTCTAATTTGAAGAATTTGTGCTATAGTGGTTAGAATCGGTACTCAGTCCTTACTTTATCCAGATAAAAATAACAATAACGTAGACATTAAATGTACCAAAAGCAAAACGTCCACAACAAAAACAACAGAATAAAAAATAATTCTAATCCTGAAGTGATTCATCTGAAGGTATTGAGAAGACAATTTTTCTGTTCAAATGGTTGATTTGTTTTTGTTTCAGTATTGTTTAATTTTTTAGTAATTATTATTTAGTGTTCATTTTAAAAATTGATTTTATTTAGGATAAAAATTTGCAGTTTCTTAATCAATCCCGTGGTCATCTCTGAAGGTGTAGTTTTGAGGTAAATTCTTGATGGTTTCAATGAATTTTCAAGTTGTTTCAGTGTGTTGGAACTCTTATCTGAATTAAATGGTGGCTTATACAAATTTGAAGGGCATGTGTTTCAATGATAAGAATCTGTGTACATGACATACGTCACCTAGAAAACAACACACAACTGGATTCTTAAGCAAATTTTGAGATTATTCGTAATATTTCTACTATCATTTTTATTTTTCAAAATATTAGGATCATGATGCTCTTGTATTGTTTTTACACAGTGCTAATTTTCCTTGCATTTTAACACTTCAATGTGCTTTCTTTCTTTTAAGTATATAACAAGGACAGGAATTATTCTGTGGTTTTTCACTTCTTAATATTACCAGTTAAAATAGGTGTAGTTTTATTATTTGGTTCAGTCTCTAGGATAGGTGGCTGAAAGAGAAATGTAAATGAAATGTTAAAAATTTCAAATACAATCCGCATTCTTATAAAATGAAGAAATTATAGAACTGCAAAGATATTCTTGATTTGGCATTATTGATGAAGTATTTTGTCAGGATGGTCTATTAAGATTGAAAATATTGTAGAAGCAATATCCTAATCTCTTGAATGGAATCTTTTCAGACATTTGCATGTATGTATGAGTGATATGCACAAAAAGTCTTTTGGAGTAAAACGGAATTAAAATGAAAGAAAAATTCAGTACCAGTTACGAAGCAACTTCAGAGTAATCCATTTGTTGCTTTCATTGATCTAACAATATTGACATGTAATTATGAAGAAAATACTGAAATATTTCATAAAAATGTTAAATTGTTCTTATCAGAGAAGCTTGAGAGTGTGTTATATAGAAATAAAAATATTACTTACAATTTCTGGACTTGAAATCTTGAGTGGGTAATGGAATCGAGTACAATAGCTTACAAGAAAGAAGTGTAATTAGGGGCAGGAAAAATTCTCATCTGATTTGTAATGTGCTTATCATGAGAGCAGTATTTGGTAACTGGAAATTTGTGTCTGGCAGTTCAAAAAATTTTGCAGCTTAATTTTAGAATTAACTAAATTAATTTGTAGACACCAATTAAGGAACATTACTGTAAGGAAAATGTAAATTACCTTCTGATATTAACTTATGCAGTGATCCCATGTGGAATTTTGGGTTTTCAAGTACACAAATGTTTCTTGTGAAGCTCCAATTAAATTTAGTGCCAGACCCATGCATTAGATATTGTAAGTTCTCAATGAAATAATCCAATTTGTATATATAAGAATCAATGATTTGAGGTTCACCTAGGACCTGGACAAGGTGACTTCAATCATATACTACAATGAAAATAAGATTGACACTTTTAGAAGCTTATCCAATGGAACATCTGTTTCCTTCTTGACTGGAAAATATAATGATTCATACATTAATGCCTTGATACCTTGAAAAAAACCTGCAAACTTCATTTTACTTTTAATGAACACATTACTCCCAAGGCTTCCTGATAAGTGCAATAATTCTGCAGCAAATTGATGCACTAAAGCTTTGCTTATTTTGAGAACTTCTCTTGCTGGTGAAATCTCACAAATACATTGTCCTGTTCAGACAACCCTGCTGCAACTTGTCATTTAGTTGATGGTCAGCCAGAAGACAATATTTATACATTATTTTGTATCTTAATAGGAAGTTTGTGTAGACAACTGATGGTAGCTTTTGCATCATAAAATGTGTTCATTATTGACTTGTGTACCAAATGAATCTTGTTCTTACTTAGAATGTGTTGCATTGAGGGATAGTGCAGGGATCTATATAAAAATATTGAGTATATTTGGCTTTCATTACTTGTAGTGAAATTTAATATGTACCTTTTTCCAACAAGTGTTCTTTTTTATAAAATGTGTACTAATTATTGAATTTACTATTGAAAGCTTTCAAGTGAATAATTCACAAGTGACATATATCTATTCAGACTATTTTAATTGATGCCCCCAATCTATCATGAGCTATTTTAAACTGCTCTAAATTTTCTCTAAACTGATTTCAATACCCTGTACTTTTGTGTTAAATGTACACTTTGACAGTAGTAGTTAAGATTTTATAAAAGACTTTATAAGACTTAGTTTCTCTGTTGCTCAATGAGTTTATGCAAAATGTATGTATATATATATATGGTAGAACAACTTGTAAATATATTTGTATGAAATTGCAGGATATTTTTCTTAAATATATTTTTTAATCTTGTATGTTCTGAAATACCAACAAAATTGTATTTCTAAACATTGATATCATATATATTTCAAAAGAGATGTCTACAAATAGAAATTGCATAGTGTATAAATATTGTCGGATATTGGTATTACTAATTGGTTGCTGCACCTCAGGGTTTGGTTGACCTCACGAATGACAATAACATAAAATATTAAATATTATATTCACACATGTATTTGTAAAACAACATTGCTAATACAGATCTCTACTGCTGTGAGTCGGTTGTTTTAATATCCTTCTCCAATTGTCCAGACATTCCTTGTTAAGTTCATCTAGTGTTCTTCTTTACTTACTACCCATTTCTTAAATGCTCTTATTTTCACTGAATCACTGTAGTCATTTGAATTTTAAAATTGTGTATTCACCTTTTTTAGAATTTTGGAGCTTTTCTGGAGTTAAAAAAAGGACTTGGTTAATTGTTGAAATTGTGACTCATTGTGTTTCTTTCGGTAATGACTAGGGGCTGGATTCCTGTTTTAACCTATGTTAGTCCTTGCATTGTAATGTCGTTATATTTATGTAAGTGTCCATTTCAGTTGTTCAGAGCAAATACATGAATCCTTTAATTCCTAAAAAAATGATAATATGAGCTATTATCTTAAAGAGGTGAAATTGTGTAATTGTTTTTTAAAAAATTACAAAAAGTTGGCTTTTGAAAATGAATTTCCTCATGTGAGGGTTGAATGAAATTTAATGGAGGTTTAGATGCAACATCCAACTTCCAGGCTTTACTGCTACTATTGCCTAATTAGAAGGTGCACACATTTTGTACTAAATGAAGCAATACAAATCATTGATGCTGTTTTAAGAATGGAAATATCAGGGACTAGGTGTGTTCTCATAAAAAAAATCCTGAAACTTCCATGTATTCCTGGTTACGCAAAGATAAAAGTCATACGTTCAGTTCTTTGGTTTTTGAGACCATTGAATGATATTCTAAAGATGTGTATTGCAATTTTTTTTTCACTCATGACTTCCAGCAAAATCCAGTAACTTAATACTTAAATGAATTAACAACTTAACTTAATACTGTAATGAATACTTTAATATTTTAGTATATTTGTGTATGGCCCTTTTTCTGAATACTTTCGCTATGTTTAAAATCCTAATGCCCTTTATTGACTCAGTTTTGTTATATTACGTTTTCTTATTTCAACGAATTTCACCGTGCATTTTTAGTTTTCGTATTTGGCGCCAATGAAACATTCATTTGGAATATCTTTTGAAAACGTGCCTAAACACGTTGGAGAATACTTCACGTGATTGAAAACTATAGAAAATATTGTGAAAAAATATTAGATATCGAGGACATTCATTAAGATGTCAATGAGAATATAAGAAGAAGAAATCATTGCTGCTAGTTACTCCACGAGGAAGTTGGTTAACCTGCGAAGTCATGAAAGCAATTGCAAGCGGATTATGTTTTAATAGTAAGATGAAAGCTCTGCGTTGTTTAATAGATATTGTCAATATTTAAAAAATACATTTGACGTGTTTCATGAGTCTGACTTTAATGAAGTAGTCAAGAAAGCGACACTTATGTCGAGCTTGCCAATCTCATTTCCGGTTCTCGGTTCCCGGAGGTAACAGTAAACAGTGTTGCAGCGTGGATTAAGCTCTTCATATGTTTTGGGTGTTGTTGCTCTTCGTCGTGTAGTGATGTTACGTGTGTGTGTTCGAGGTCTTTAATTGTTTACTACGTGAAGGTAAGATAAACATTCAATTGTTTCGCAAGTGTCTGCATGGTGGATATTGTTGCGTGTTATAGTAAAATAATTAGGCAGTGTTATGTCCATATTTTTGCTAAATTGTCACTATCAGCACGGCGTGTACTTTCGGCCTGATTCATCTTAGCGTGTCATGGCTGAAATTTGACCCATATTACTATGTCGGCATTTTCGGTAAAGCTGAACGATAATGTGTGATCAAAGATCCTAGGTACATGTTTTCAGGGAGTGTTGTTATGTTGTTGTCGCGTTCAGATTTCGTCTGCGAACCTGGGAGAACATCATCTCTCTTACGCCTTGCTAGCACAGCTGGTGGACCCCAGAGCGTTCCAAGTCCAAATTTGGCGACGAATGCAGACGGATTTAGCCCATCGCATGACATTAACACGTTCGTAAATGCCGCATGTCGTTTTACGCTCGTATAATAGTTATGAACAGCATTTGAGATGCTTTAAAAATTAGAGCAAATCATTTGCGAAGCCACGAGGTAAAGAACCAAGACTTCGTATGGAATTCAAATAAAAGAAAAAATATTGTCCTTGGGTAGTTAGGACCTATTTTGTTTTTTATTGCTTTAGATTCTCTCAAGTATATGCGATATTCTTTTTATCTTCAGATTCTCCGTGCAGTTCATTCAAGTTCATGAAGTGAAAAATCAGGGAACTGATAAGTCGAATGAGTGACCATGTGTGTGTGTATTGTACGTGGATACGATCATGATTTCTAGATCACATCAGGTTTAATAACGATGTATAGCGGATGTTATGTGCAGAAAATTCCACCATCTGTGACACAATTATGCGCGACCCTATGAAACAATCCAGGAAATTTACCTTTTCACGTGCTAACCGCTTCGAAAAAAGACGGTAAAAAATAACTCGAGTTAAACGACGGTAGACTCGTCACGCCTTACGTAACTAGCATGATAAGGCTGATCGCCGAACGAGCAATGTTCACGCATGCGAGATCCTAGAGGTCACTGCGGAATTTCGGGGACTGTGTAACGTGGCTGCTGAAAGTTAAAGAAAGTGAATCGCTGCTGACCTGAAACTTCAGGCGGATTTTTAAAGTAGCACGCTCACTCCGGTTTTTGCCTAATATTTGCGTCCTCCCGACGGAAGCAAAATCTGTCTACATAATTTTATGCGGGAGAATGAAATAGAAATCACAGGTTTCACAAATAACACGGTTCGATGAGCGTGGGTGTAGAAGAAAGTCGGAGTTGGAGAATTGAAACTGCTCGATTGAGCGAAGTCTCGGTGTTTAGTTGCATAAAGCGGTTTGCGAGCGAGATAGAAAATCTTTGTGGAAGTGGGAACCGTGGGTGTGTGTCATCGGAGACGCGGAAAGACGTGCGTGTGAGTGCGTGCGTGTCGCGTTCGGCAGCGGGTGGGAAGGACGGACGGACGCGGCTGCTTTTGCTTGCTCAACTCGGGACCGCCTCCGTCTGCCCTGTTGCCGTGGCGACAGGCAGCGAAACTGGCTGCGGCCCGGTCGCCATGGCAACCGCATCTCCGGGCCTACGCAGGCAGGCAGGCAGGCAGGCTGGGTCGCCCGGCGGACGGCTTGCCGGCCTCCGGCTCGCGACGCCGATGCCCATGTTTTCAAAACATCGATGGACTGAGGTCGATGTTTTTTTAACACCAATATTTTCTGCTCGATTTTTTTTTAGTTTTTGATGTTGTTTGTAGATGTAAAATTCCCTTAATCACAATTTTGTAAAATTTATACAAAAGTTATATATAAGGGAATGCGCGTACGTGTGTCGCACATAGACGCAAAACTTACTCGACCGATTTCGCTGAAATATCCACACTTTGTTCTTATTACTAATGAGAGTGTTGAAAGAGTGATATGAATTAAATCTGACAAGTGGGGCTTTGTTGATGATAATTTATTCGTTTATGACGATTCAAGTACCACTGAACCCTACGCAACCCGCCACACAGTCAAGAATTAAGCGCATCTTTACTGCATGCAAGTATTCTGTCCCCTACGAGTGTGAAATATCGGCCGGATTTTATTTCTTAAATCTTGGACAAGTAAATCAAATTTCTCCAATTAGTGTCATAGCGAACGTATGCCCAAACGTGAGGGGGAACGTTTTTACAATAGAATACTTGACAACAATGTCCAAGGACTTAAAACAAATTCATATAAAACATACTTGCGAGGAAGACTTTCAAGTATATAATATATCATTGTTGCACCTCATAGCGCAAAACATGATTAACCAGCTCGTGACCATTAGGGAGTAATGTGTAATACACTGCAATTGCGAAGTATTACCCGGGTCCACTAGTATGAAATAACTTATGGAGTCACTGGGTCATATGATTAAAAATGAGCACTTGTTTGGAAGCATTCGCTCCGGAGCTAAGTGAGTCTACTCCATGACACTGAGCAAAAGCTCCATTTCGTATGAGTAAAAACTTCGTCTGTCTCCGAAGAATTTACTCGTGCCACGCGAGCATTTGCTCGTTGTGTACAAGTGATAGTGCAGAGTAAGTTTTGAAAATTGGTTTCCTGAGCAACAAAGAGGTTACATATGTTGCGCCCGTCGCGGACATCATTTGTACGGAGCAAAGAGCAATGTATTTTGTCTCATTCTTTATATTCGAATATGAGTATCAGTAACGAAGAACAGAAGGCTCCAGAGACCCAGTTAGTTTTTGCCGAAATGCTAAGCGAATATAAAAGTTATTTTTGAAAAGAGTCAGCTTCCGGAGGTACGCTGCGGCCGAAACGAAGCATTGCAAAGTTTGAAAAAACTGTACCCCGAAAAATTCAGAGTAGAAATGAGCGATGGCCAATTAACATAGAAGATATGCAATATGAAAACGTGCTTGGAAGCAAACACCGATAAAAATCGTACCATCTAAACAGCATTGTCCTGTTCGAATAGGTTAAGAATCTTATGGTATACATTACGAGAATCTCACCGTATCTTGCACATTTTTTAGTCCGGTGCATTGGCATGTCAGCACACGGTAACATTTAACCTTACTTTTCAAACGTGAGTCTACTATCCGAAATTTTGGAGCAAGTGCTCAATCTAGAGAGTGAACGTTTGAGTTGCCAGTTGATAGTACGCTCAGAGACAAAGGAAGTGCTCAGAGACTGAGCAATTGCTCACCCATTTTATTTATACGAAGTAGAGAAGGACCTTCGATACTCGGAGCAAAGAGTAAGTGCTTACTTTTGTTCATACTACGCACTGTTTACACGCGGACGCGCTTTGTACTATCCTTCATGTAGCACACACTCTCTCTCTCTCGCCTGAGATAATCATGATTCCCTGGTATTTTCCGTCTTTCCTCGAATTTCGCCCCAAGGAGATGCGTTTGAAACTTTCTGTTCAGTCAATTTTTAAATAAAGTAATATACACGGTCACTGTCAAATTCAATGTTGTTGCGCGCGAATTAAATGTTAAGAGGTTACTAACCTAGTTTTAAAAGGGTCGATGTATTTTAAACATCGATGTTTTCA